ATCCTTAAGTGCTATAAAATCTTTTCTCTGGCAGACATTGAAGCCTGTGTGGTTGTCTTATGGGTTAATTGCTAATTTATCTTTCTTGCTATCATAGCCCCCAAGAAGGGAGAGAAATCTGCCTCCATGTAAATGTATTTAGCAGGGATGTTCCACTGTCTTAGTTTTCTTTTTAAATTAGGAGAGAATTCCTTCAAGATTGTAAGTTCAAAATATTCAGTATAGCAGCAGCTGGCATACCTTTAACTTAAGGTAATATTGCTGATTAAGATGGCTACGGACAGCAGAGATTTGAGAAAGGAACTTTCAACAGTATTCTTCAGTTATTGGTTGTTATTTTGTTCTTAGGTTTATTTGCATTATTTTAAGAAGAACTATCATGAATGTTCTGGTTATGCACGTATTTCTGCTTATTTACTTAAATAATTTCTAGGAGTGCAAAAGTAGGTCAAAAAGTGTGTGCAATTGTAAAGCTCTCAATATACATCGCGTAATTGCTTTTATGATAGATTATACTAATTCACAATCCCACCACAGTGCTGAGAGTGTCTCTTTTATTATACCCTCTCCAAAATTAGGCACTGTGAGGCTTGTTGATAGGAAAACAAAAACAACAACAATGTCTTACTGTGTTAATTGGACATTTTTCATATTTCATCATGTGTTTGTTATGTAATAATTGCTTAATATTATTTGCACATGTTTTCCATTAAGATTTTAGTATTTTGGTAACTTTTATATTGACTTTTGTTGTAAACGGGACAATTCGTTTTTAGGGTTTGTTTGTTTGTTTCCTTTTTAAGTTTTTTAGTATTTTGTAATTTTAGATTATGTTGTCAGCTTTATATTGTTTTATTTGTTCAATAAGGTTTATACATAGAATGTGTTTTCTGATCCAGATAATTCATACACACACACACACACACACACACACACACACTAGAGGCCTGGCACACAAAATTCGTGTTCGGTATGGTCCCTCGGCCTTGCCTGCGGTCAGAGCCATGTTCCCTGGTTCCCCGTTCGCCATTGGGCGATTGGAGCCTGTTGCCCGGGCAAAGCATATTGCAGAATTTACTTTCTTTTCAAGGCTGAATATTCTTTTGTATGTATATACCACATTCTGCTTACCCATTCATTCATCAATGGACACTTGGATTGCTTCCATGTTTTAACTGTTGTGAATATTGTTGCTGTGAACATTGCTATACAAATATCTCTTTAAGATCCTGCTTTCAATACTTTTGGGTATATATTCAGAAGTAGAATTGCTCAATGCTATGGTATTCTATTTTTAATTTTTTGAGGAGCTGCCATACTGTTTTCCACAGTGGTTGTACCATTTTATATTCCCCATGGTGCACAGGGGTTCCATTTTCTTCACATCCTTGTTGTGTGTGTGTGTGTGTGTGTGTGTGTGTGTGTGTGTGTGTTTATAGTTGCCATTTTAATGGGTACAATTCATTGTAGTTTTGACTGACATTTCCCTAATGACTCGTGATGTTGAGCACCTTCTTTATGTCCTAGTTGGCTATTTGTGTATCTTTGGAGAAATGTCTATTCAAGTTCTTTGCCCATTTTTGAATCAAGTTGTTTGGGGGGTTTTTTTTTTGGTGTTTTTTTTAAAATATATTTTATTAATTTTTTACAGAGAGGAAGGGAGAGGAATAGAGAGTTAGAAACATCGATGAGAGAGAAACATCAATCAGCTGCCTCCTGCACACCCCCTACTGGGGATGTGCCCGCAACCAAGGTACATGCCCTTGACCGGAATTGAACCTGGGACCCTTCAGTCCGGAGGCCGATGCTCTATCCACTGAGCCAAACCGGTTAGGGCAAGTTGTTTGGTTTTGTTTTTTTGAGATTCAAGAGTTCTCTATGGTATATTCTGGATATTAATCCCTTGTCAGATATATAATTTACAGATATTTTCTCCTATTCTGTGGGTTGCCTTTTTGCTCTGTTGATAGTATCTTGAAGCACAAATTTTTATTTTAATCCTGAAAAAGGATTGAACCCACAACATGAATATGTGCCCCAAACGGGAGTCAAACCCATGAGTCTTCAGAGCACAACGCAGTGCTCTAACCAACTGAGCCACATCAGCCATGGAGATGCACAAAATTTTTTAATTTTTATAAAGTCCAATGTATATTTTTTCTTTTGTTACCTGTGCCTTTAATATCATATCCAAGAAATCATTGCCAAACCAATCTTATGAACCTTTTGTTCTATATTTTCTTTTGTTACTGTTTTAGGTCTTACTTAACATTTTTATGTCCTTGGTCCGTTTTGAGATAATTTCTGTATGGTATTAGATAAGGTTCTAGCTTTATTCTTTTGCATGTGCATATCCATTTGTTGAAAAGATTATCCTTTCCTTATTGAATGGTATTGGCACCCTTGTTAAAAATCACCTGTATTAATAGCTGTAGTATAGACACCAGTTTAAAATTCTTTCTCCATATGCGTATTTTAAGTTGCTCTGGATCCTGGAAATACTTTTTATGAATACAGTGTTCACTGTCCTGACTTTAAAGTATTACTTCCCTAAAACCTCTCATCACAATTTACTACTGTCCTTACCTTCTTAAATTTTCTTAACTTTTTTAGATGAATAAAATTATTTTAACAAAATTATGTTTTATATGATGACTAGAGGCCCAGTGCATGAATTCATGCACCAGTGGGGCCCCTCGGCCTGGCCTGTGGGATCAGGGTGAAACAGGCTGCCGAGGGACCCCACCAGTGCATGATCGGGGCCAGGTAGAGACGCGGGAGGTTGGCCAGCGAGGAAGGGACCGCGGGAGGGCTCCAGGACGTGTCTGGCCATTTCGCTCAGTCCCCATCGGCTGGACCCCAGCAGCAAGCTAACCTACTTGTTGGAGTGTCTGCCCCCTGGTGGTCAGTGCATGTCATAGCGAGCGGTTGAGCAGCTTTAGCATATCATTAGCATATTATGCTTTGATTGGTTGAACGGACGACCAGACACTTAACATATTAGGCTTTTATTATATAGGATGATCTCAGCAAATGTTTTGGCATGGTAGCACTTTAACTTACCTTAAGTTTTCATTCTGAGATTTATATATATTTGAAATGCAAGTGATAAAGCTATATTGGGTGAGAATAGATGAAGAACTCAGTCAGTTTTTAAGTTATTATGTGGCATTTATTAAAAATTTTAAGGGATTTGATTTTTCTTACCACATTGTACATATGCAAACAGGTGATTTTTGTATGATTCTTGTATTTAGAGAAAACTTATTGCAGGGCCTTTTATACTTAACTAGACGCCCAGTGCCACGAGATTCCCTCAGCCCGGCCTGTGCCCTCTCGCAGTCCGGAACCATCGCTCTTTATCGCCGACCTGCAGCGGAGGTGGGATAGGCTCCCGCAACTGGTCATTCCGCCGTTCAGTCAATTTGCATATTATACTTTTATTATATAGGATGCTTCAATAAATATTAATGAGCTTTTAAACAAAACAAATCACAGAATTTAGCATGTAAATAGACAAGAAGCACAAAGTATACATAGACCTATAAGTGTGACATGTAATGAGTAAAGCAGTTGTTTAATTTTAGTGAGCAAACCTGTTAGAGCAAGATAGAGTGTTGACATAATTTGGAAAGTATCATGTTTTTTATATAGTTTGTAACAGTTAGATGTCAAGGAAAGGGAACTTTAAGCAAAACTGCACCTAACAATTATAAGTCACATTTAATTTTAATTTCCAGACTGCCCAGTATTAAGGGGAAAAAAGTTTTCTGTGTGCGGAATTACATTTATAAGATTGTAGCCATCTTGTAGGTAAAATTTACACAATGCAGTACTATGCAGCTGTAAAAAAGGAGGATCTCTTACCCTTTGAGATAGCATGGAAGGACCGGGAGAGTATTATGCTAAGGGAAATAAGCCAGAGAAAGACAAGAATCACACGATCTCATTCATATGTGGAATCTAATGAACAGAATAAACTGATGAACAAAATAGATCCTAAGACATAGAAGCATGGAACAGACTGAAGAATTTCACAGGGAAGGGGAGGGGAGGGAAGAGATTAACCAAAGAATTTATATGCATATATGCATAACCCGTGGACACACAATAGTTTGGGGGGGGTGGGGGAGGGTAGAGAGGGTCAATGGGGGAAAAGGGGAACATCTATAATACTTTCAACAATAAAAATAAATTTTAAAAAATGTCTATGTGCGGAATTATATTTATAAGATTGTAGTCATCTTGAGGGTAAGGACTATATATAAATTACTTTGTGCCACAGAATGTTATAGTAAAAGAGGTTTGTTGCTTTTGATGAAGATAGAATCCTTAGGGAGAAACAGTACCTTCCTTAGCCTGTAATACTAAGATTAATATTTGTTTTAAAGGTAGTGGTCAGGATTTGAAAGTATTTTCTTGTTAGCTACACCAGGCTCCATTTGTTCACACCTGGGGTTTACTGTGTTAAATTTGTTGTATGGGAGGAGGGGAACAGCTTCATCAGGTGAAGTATAGAGTATGTTGTTCACAGCTCTTTCAACTAGGGATTAGAAGTCTTTTGTCCCCCTCCCCCCCCCCCCTACTGTATCTACTATTTTCAAAGAAATCCCATAGCCCTAATCTACATGCTGAAAATCAAGCTCAGAGAATTTGCTGTTCACATTGATCCTTCAGTTAATCATGCTAGTCTGACAGCATTTTGTATTCACATTGGTGAGAAACATGACTAATTGGTGCATTACAGTTATTTTGGAGTGGAGATAGATTAGCATTGCTGAAAGATTTAAGCTTTATGTCCATTAGACCTTTGCCTTAGTACTAAGTTTGATCTGTTTTCTACAGGTTTGATATCCCAAACTTGTTTTGATTATTTGTGTTGTACCTGAATAAAAGGATACTTGACATATTTTCCCAAAACTCTTAAAACCAATCAAGTTGTAACTTTACTTTTAAACTCATAAAGTCTGTGTGTTTATAATTGATATGCTTGTTTCTAGGGGCCACCTACAGATGCTCCTGCAGTGGACACAGCAGAACAAGTCTATATCTCTTCCCTGGCACTGTTAAAAGTAAGTGCTGAATGGAGTAATTTGCTTTAAGAGAGCTCTGTATCTTTTACTTTGGAATACTTGTCATCTTAATCCTCTCAGACAAACTATTGTTTTAGCTACATCAATAAAATAGAGTGTTTTATTTCCACTGAAACTAAATTAGGTTCTTAATTTAAAAAGAATAAAGATCTCAAAGCTTTGTGTCCACATATCTTTCTCTTACAGATGTTAAAACATGGTCGTGCTGGAGTTCCAATGGAAGTTATGGGTCTGATGCTTGGAGAATTTGTTGACGATTACACCGTCAGAGTGATTGATGTGTTTGCTATGCCACAGTCAGGAACAGTGAGTACTTTTATGGTTGCCTGCTGCAAGTAAATGTGTTCCTTTTCTCTTTACTTTTCCTATGCAAAATAATATTCATCATATTATATTTTCCTGATAGGAAAAATTCATCATAAGATTGAAAATTCATCATAAGATTTTCCTATGCCAAATAACATTCATCATATTCTATTTTCTCTTCCTGATGGGAAAAATTCATAAGATTAAAATTCATCATAAATTAATACTTTGTTGAATTAAATGATTGTATTGAATTAAATGATTTATATTTTAAGTGCATCCGTAAACTGAATGATGCTAACATTAAATCCCTTTACTCATACCTTCAGCTTAAACTAGCATAGCATACTGGGTTTATTATAAATTAGTCATTCTCAAATAGTAGGATATCAGTTTGATTAGTTTGAACACTTGTTTCAAAAGATTTCAGACTCTTAATTAGATTTTCATTTACATACATTATCTAGTCCTCATGTTTTGTTCCCATTGTTTTTGAAATATGACCCTTTTTTAAATGTTTCATATATGGTGATAAATGACTCTTAAACTTTTCCTATTCAAAATGTTAAGTTAAAAAACAGTTTATGGTAAACTTTGGTCTTTTTGCCTATCATGGTAATTTGTTTATATAAGAAACAGAATTCATACAGATTTGAAAGTCATCTATTTAGAATTTGTACTCTCTCTGGAACAATTTTTTTGTTTTGTTTTTTATTTTGTTTAGTGCATTGGACTTGTGTAGATAGGTGTGTATTTTGATTTAAAGAAATTGGCCAAAAGACAATAACTGTTCTACCTACCTTTCAAAAAAAACAACATACATATCCTTCTCATCTGTTTGCCTAAAAAAATATAATATGTGTATTTTTTATGATGGATGTTTTTCTTATTGGACCTTATAAAATATCCAGGTTAAAGAAATTGTTTTCATAAAGCTGTTTGCTCTGTTTGAGGCTCTTTACTGTTAGTATGTTTTGATAAAATAGATGCTAGAGAAAAACAATTTTCATTTTTAAATATTGCAATATGCGTGTGTGTGTGTGTGTGTGTGTGTGTGTGTTTAATAAGTATTTTAAATGGAGTAGTTGCTACAGAATGCAGTTTATTTGTAAACAAAGCAAAATATAGAAAAACATGAAATGAGGTAAACCAGGGGTCCTCAAACTTTTTAAACGGTGCCAGTTCACTGTCCCTCAGACCGTTGGAGGGCCGGACTATAGTTTAAAAAAAAACTATGAACAAATTCCTATGCACACTGCACATATCTTATTTTGAAGTAAAAAAACAAAACGGGAACAAATACAATATTTGTATTTGCATGTGGCCCGTGGGCCGTAGTTTGAGGACCCCTGACGTAAACTAATTTGGATCTGCCGATTTTCCATTATATTTATTTTGTACATTGGACATAGAGAAATACACTACATATTGACTAAAGATTTAGATTTGAATATTAGACTATTATTTATATCTATCTTTTCATGTCAGAATATATGAGACACATAAAGTTAACTGTTTTTATCTGTAACATGTGATTCTTATATGCTTATTCATTATAAAGGGATCTTAAGCTTTAATATTCTGTATAAGTGTTTGTTTGGCAATATAAAAATAGAAGATTTTGATTCCCATGTGTAATCTGTGCTGAATTTGAAAGTTTTTCTTCTGGACCAAGAGTTAGCTAACTTCTGTAAAGACATGTGTCTCTGCCTCCTATTCATATGTGTGTGTGTGTGTGTGCGTGTGTGTGTATTTCTTGTGTTTTGTTTTTTTAACAATCTTTTAAAAATGTAAAAAAAAACACCCTTTTTTATTCTGTAGGTAGTAGCAGATTGGATACCCCTGTTCTTGAGTATGCACTCTCAATTAGATTCAAAATACTGTTTGGTTGGAAGGAAGTGTTTATGTTAACTGGTTTGTTTAAGTAGATCAGACTTAAATTCCTGAAGTTAGAAGAAAGCCTTTTGCGAGCTATAATGGCAGTGATCTATCACTGAAGAGATGATATAAATGCCTGTGATAGTTTAGGTTGTGAAATTTTCTTTTGGTTGAACTAGCAATATAATGCAGCTTTTTAAAGACTTGGTTATAGATTGTCTCTAGTGGGAAATTTTTGTGTGAATACTTTTATACTTTAGGTAATATTCAAAAGTATATTAATTCCCTCCAACTACCTAATCTACCAAGTTGTCCTAACTGAAGCACTAAACTTCCTCTTTTTCCAACCCACCCACCCCAAAAACAACTCTGTGAAATGAAAAAATTACTTTCTTTCTTCAAAGTGTTTACATTGCTGGGAAAATAATTGAAACTTGATTATTATAATAGCTGAATAATTGTAGAACTTTGAATGCGATGCTTAAAAGTTATCAAAGGATGGCAGCATTAGGAAGTATGCTTTCTAATAGGTCTCACCAAAAAATAGTTAATTCAGTTATTTGGTGTTTCTCACACACACACACAATTAGAGAGAGAGAGAGAGAGAGAGAGAGAGAGAGAGAGAGAGAGAGAGGACACGCCATGGCCATAAACTCTTAAAGGTTCCTGAAAAAGATGGTCTCTACTATAATTGAAAATTACCTTAATTAAGTCTTAACTAAGAAGTTTGGTGCCGAAACCGGTTTGGCTCAGTGGATAGAGCGTCGGCCTGCAGACTGAAAGGTCCCAGGTTCGATGCCGGTCAAGGGCATGTACCTGGGTTGCGGGCACATCCCCAGTAGGAGATGTGCAAGAGGCAGCTGATCGATGTTTCTAACTCTCTATCTCTCTCCCTTCCTCTCTGTATAAAATCAATAAAATATATATATATAAAAAAAAGAAGTTTGGTAGTTGGTGATTTTAGGAGCTTTATTGGTGTAAGATTTATAATTGAATGAGCAGGTATCAAATATGGGTTTCAAAACTTATAAAATTATTTTGATATCTCAAAATAATATATCTAGGTTTTCTTGGGTCGCTTTTTGTTAATTTACATTGTAATATGTGGGGTTTTTTCCCCCTGTAATTATAAAAGCTATTTATTTTTCTTCCTTTTTAAACCAGGGTGTTAGTGTGGAGGCAGTTGATCCAGTATTCCAAGCCAAAATGCTGGATATGCTGAAGCAGACAGGAAGGTAAGTATTTTAAATGATCATATAAAGGAATAATGGCAAATATTTTTAGGAACATATCTCAGAATTTTGGATGTTTATGAATATCATTCTTGGGAGGGGGGGGGGGGAAGCCATGTAGTTAATGTAAAAGCATCACTGTCAGTGCTAGGCACCACCCATCTAGTCTCTCATTCATCTAGAATCAAAGAAATTCGCCAATCAGAAAACTGCTTCATGATAAAATTCTCAACCATCACATAGTAAGCTTGTGTTGTAGCTTCCCTCTGGTTAGCATATGGAGTTACTTTCTAGTCACTGATAATTGAAAGAGAGTTTATGTTCCATTGTATTTGAGAGTTGCAACCAAATAATATTCTGAATATTTAATTATATTTGTAGGCATATGAGTTTTAAAGACAGGGCAAATAGAATCTAAATATTCTTCGAGTTATTCCCCGCCCCCCTCCAGATTAAACCTCTCAATAGTTGTCATTCTCTTGCTCAAATTCTTCTACTGTGTGGAGAAAACTTCAAAATTAATGTTAGCAAAAGGCTCAGCAGCTGAGCAGATCAGTGCAAATTGGTTTTTGACTGAGTTCCTAGTTCTACTGCTGGTTTAATTGATATTTAATCCTTTCACAACAGTGGATCCTGGTGTCCATTGTTAAAAATATACTGTGCCTGAAAAATCCAACTCCCAGAGCTAAGGAGTTAAAGAGTAGATATTTACTTAAATGCTGAAAGGGTAAAAACTGGCTCTGAGAAAGTGTGGTAACAAGGTGAAAAACTGAAAGCCTTATCTACCACTGCTAATGTGCATCTCTTAATGATAGCACTCCTTTATCACACTTACTCATTTCCATGTTTTCTGGATAATGTGGTGTATGATACCAGTGTTTCTAATGGTGCTTTTTCACACCTGTGTGTTTATCATCTCTTCTTAATTTATACCCTGTTAGTGTGCTGTTTCTTTTCATATCATAAATGTATTCCTTGTTCTGTTCTGAACAGCTGAATGCCCTCTTTGTTTCAGACCGGAGATGGTTGTTGGTTGGTATCACAGTCACCCTGGCTTTGGTTGTTGGCTTTCTGGTGTGGATATCAACACGCAGCAGAGCTTTGAAGCCTTGTCGGAGAGAGCTGTGGCAGTGGTTGTGGATCCCATTCAGAGTGTAAAAGGAAAGGTAGAGTAGATTCTGTCTTTATTAGCATCTACTGCCACATTCTGTTTGCAGCCACATTAAATAAAAATCGTATTTTTTAAAGCAGAATTCTTAATTACACAAAACCCCCGACTGGTTACTTAAAAAAGAAAAAAAAAGGACTGTACAAGTTTATATGTGTGTCTTGGTATTATTTAGAGATTTGTTTCTACTTTAATCAGCTATTGTCTAATCATGAATGTTTATCTTTAAATTTTTTTATTTCATAGGTTTAGGAATGTTAAACCATGCTAAAAGCCTGCTATACACACTTCATGAATATTTTAATAAACAGTACTCTTCCTTTCTTTATTTAAAAATGGAGAATTTGGGATTGGCACGTTTAAAAAATCTAGTTAAAGAGCTCTGTTTTACAGATATTGTGCAGGACATATTCTGGAGTTGTATGTTCCAAATATTTTAGACAATGAAAACTTGCCCCAAAGACTTGGTAACAATCATTCCCATTTTTGGAGTGAGGACCCAGATGAATAATTAAATATGCTAAATGATTCTGAAAAGAGATTAACTTGCAAAGCATATTGGGTTATAGTTGTTCTTTGTCGAAATCTTTTGTTCTTGTTTAGTTCTTTTTTTTCTTTTTTGTTCGTTTGTTCTTTCTTTCTTTTTTTTTTTTTTCTTTCTTTCTAGCCCCATATGCCATTTTCCTATTTCCTGCCTCATGACAGCAGGGAGTAGCTCTATTATCACCTTCACAGAGCTGTCTGCAAATGTGAGAGGCAATTCGATTTTGCTCAACCACAGGGAGAGTGGATTAGAAAAACTACAGAACATACAGAAATTGGCTAGGTGGTTACTGCTTTAAAATACTGCTGAGGTGTCTTGTTTGAGCATGTACTTCCATTGTAGTGTAGAATAATTGTTATAATAAAATCATAATACATTTATGGGATCCTTTTTATGCAGCTTTTACAAATTATTTTTAGAGCACTTAAGAGTAAATATTAGCTTGCTATCTATTAGACCTGGAGTTTGATAGTACTGCAGATTACATTAACATCTGCTCACCAGCCCAAACAAACTAAATCTGGCTGTTAAAATGTGGAGTTTTTATCATGAATTTGAAGTTAAGCACTTGCTGACATCATATTATTATGATGAATAAAATTGAGGTCTTCTCTAAATCATGATCCTATTAGATGTGATTTAGCTTTTCAGAAGCAAAAACTAGCCATAAAACCAATAATAATAGCTGATATACTAGGCAATTCGGTATAGGTAACTTCAGATGCTTGCTATGTACCAGTATTTCAATTTATTTATTTATTTATTTTTTTTACTAAGTATGTTGTTACTTAAATAATATATCTATATCTAAAAGGAATTAAAAATCCTTGATTTTTGTTTTCAGTTTTTTGAATTAAAGTACAGTATAATACTATTTAAGTTTAATTTTCTGATAACATACCTTTTTGGCAACTCATTTAAATAATGATTCTTATTTTAGAAATGTAACAACAGAATTATCAGATTAAGTTTCTCTACCACAATATTTAAAAATAATTATTGAAGCTTTAATTTTAAATATAATTAGAGTTTTATTTTGTATTATTGTGACAGATTTTTTTATGATACTGGTTTATGTGATGGTGGCCACTTTGAAAAGGAAAATATAAGCTTAAATACAATAAAAGAAAGCATTCTCAAAATAGATTGTAAATAAATGAATATGTATTTTATTTTTGGTTATCTTGCATATAGTTTTTTTAAATGGCAGTTTTAGGTTCTAAACCAGTTTTAAGTATCATACAATGTTGGAATTTGCATTGCTTGTTTATAATTAATCATAATTCATATTAGAAGAATGTGTTGCATTTAAAAATACTGGTATCACATGACTGCTGTCATGTGGTAAAATGTAGTAGTTAAAAATATCTAAAATTATGAAATAACAAGTATTACTGTCTAATTTTGTCATAAAATAGTTTTGAAAAATTTTTGTATTAGTATAAGTATGTATCATTGATGATTCACATCACTTGTTATACCTAACATAGATTTTCATAATTTTATTACCTGAAATAAAGATTTAGTTCTTTGTTAAGAACTAAAGTAACTTCATCTATAACAGTGGTTTTCAACCTGTGGGCCGTGACCCCTTTGGGGGTCGAATGACCTTTTCCCAGGGGTCGCCTAAATACATCCTGCATATCACATATTTACATTACGATTCATAACAGTAGCGAAATTACAGTTATGAAGTAGCAACGAAATTAATTTTATGGTTGGGAGTCACCACAACATGAGGAACTGTATTAAAGGGTCGCGGCATTAGGAAGGTTGAGAACCACTGATCTATAAGGTTCTGAATATGGTTATAATGTATGATTCTCAGTGTCAAGACCTCTCTAAACTATGAACCAAATTAAATGCTAGTACACCCATGGCCAGTGTTCCTAGTTGAAGCATTAAACTTAAGAATATAAACTTGTAAAAACTGAATAACATAAGACTCTGCCTTCCTCTTCCTTGCACTTGCTTTCTCAAAGCTGTCAAAATATTTAATAAGGCAATGAGTAGATCAAGAGTTAAAAATGGCAGTCTATATGTAAACGATTTAAATTCGGTTTCTGTTCACTAAATACCTCTTTCCTATATATTTTTATATTTCTATTTTTATAAATCCCAATATTATCTGTTTTTGAGTGATAAGCATGGATTCTTTCTTTGTAATCACAATTCATAATTATTACTACTTTTGAGAACTCATTTTCTTATCAGGATTCCTGTCAGTAAAATGTTCATATGTTACCTGCTAACTCCTGTTTGTGTCTGTTCTTTATCTTAAAAACATGAAAAAGGACACAAAACACTAATAACCTTTTAGTCCAAATACATCTCTATTTCCTTGAAAAAATTTTATTTAATATAATCAGAAATACTCAATGGACTTTTAAAAATAAATGTTTCTATTGACTTTCAGAGAAAGAGAGAGAGAGAGAGAGAGAGAGAGAGAGAGAGAGAGAGAGAAAGAGAGAGAGAGAAGACAGAAGACAGAAGAGAGAAGAGAGAAGAGAAGAGAGATTGGCTGCCTCCTGCATGCTCCCTACCAGGGATAGAGTCCACAAACTCAGACATGTACCCTGACCAGGAATTGAACCAGCAGCCTTTTGGTGCACAGGACAACGGTCAACCAACTGAGCCACACCAGCCATGTCTCAATAGACTTTTAAAAATGTAATATTTATCTAGTTGCAGATCAGCTCATCTGTAGGTATTTCTTAAGTAAATCTGATATACCTGTATGCTAATGATTCTGGGGTACCACATAAAGAAAAAATGGTCTTTGTCTCTGAGAAAATTAGTCATATGCATTTGGTATTATTTGTGAGCCAGATAATATGCCATTTATATGCTGATAATCCTACATTGCGTACTGATAGAATACAAATTATACTGATACTGCTTTGTTTCTGTAAATTAAGTATTAAATTGGTTACTAGGGACAGATATAATTCAATAAATACTTACTTGGAACCCTGTATGTACCAGTATATAAAAAAAGTATTTGTATAGCAAGCATAGTAAATACAGATTAAATTAAAAGAAGGAAGAAATGGGTATAAGATGCACAAAGTAGATGAAATTTGGACTGAGCTTTGAGGGATGGACAGGACATCACTCAGAAAAGAAGAGTTTGTACCTGTGGGGAAGAAGGTAGGAACAATACCATTCTAGGTGGTACTCACCTTTGTTAATTCTGCTTTCACAGATGCATTAGAATATAAAGTAAATAGTTTATAGTTTTTGTTGTTCTTTTTTAAATTAATGTTTTACAAAAAAAATGGGGCTCTGAAAAGTAAATACAAATATAGGAGAAAAGAATTAGGGGATGAATGTTATAAGACCTTAACTTTTATCTGCAGATATTTAGAAGGTTATGCCTTTTTCAGGACGAGGGGGCAAATATTTACCAAGACATTTTGTATTGGAAAGTTTTAAGATGGTGGAGATTTTAAACTACTCAACTAATAGTTTTGTTTTAGCTTGTTATTATTTAAAAAAATGTCATAGAGGCAGGGAGGACATAGAGTAATGAAGAACACAGGCTCTGGGATCAGACCTACATTAGAATTCCATTTTTATATCTTCTTTACAGCATGACCTTGAGCAAGTTACCTAACTTTCTTGAGCTTCAGATTTTTTCGTCTATAAAATAGGGATTTTAGTGACTATCATAATATTGTGAATATTATGAAATGACATATGCATGATTAGTGTACACATGCCATACATAATAGGAGGTGTGCAATAAATGGTACTTTATTATTCTGAAGATTAAAGTAATTGTTACTTAAAAGAATTAACAACAAGCATATTTAAAAATGTGAATATCTCTGAAAGTTTTGTTAAGAATAAGTCTATAAATTAATTACTAACTTGCTCACTTTAGGAAGATGAAGATAATGAAAACTTTCCATTCCATAAAAGAAATGCAAACTTTCCCTTGTATTTTCTATATCCTGATGAATTTAGGAATGCTCTTCTGATTCAGCTACTTTTTATTGAGCAATTACTATTTTCCAGCATATTTCTCTGGGGCATGCTGATGAAGAGGAAAATGAATACATTACATTAAAATTCTGGCCTTTGAAGTAATTAAATGTATTATACTTAAAACCATTTTGTGTTTTGGAGCCTCTTTTGGGATAAAAACGTTTTCATGTCTTGGAATTTATATATTGTCTGGCAAAAGTATTTTTTTTGTTTTGTTTTGTTATTTTTTAAGTAGTTTTTTAAATAAATTTTTATAAAATAAAATCAAGGAATGGATGTGTCATTGGTCACTGTTATCAGTTTGGCTTTCAGCATATAAAAAACTGCAGTTTTATGAGTTTTAGTAAGTAATTTTTATATGTTAGAGGAGTCATAGAGTCATTTATTAAATGTGTGAATTGACAAGCTCAGTGAGGCAACTTGTTCACAAACCTTAGCCTTGATGAATTTGTGTGTAATCAGAG